ATTCCAAATATTGAAAAACAATTATTTCAAAGTGAGGTACTGGGACCAGTAGCTTCAGCATCATGTAGGAACTTGATAGAACTGCACATTCTCCTACCTGCCAAGGCTATTTTGTTTTTCTTTTGGTGGCACTGGGAAAGGAACCCAGGACCTCACATTTGCTAGGGAAGAACTGTACCACTGAGCTACACCTCTAAGGTCTACTTGGTTTGACCGTATTCAAAGCTCTGAAGGGGGCCAGGGATCTACCTCAGTGGTTCCGCTGCTTACCTCACAAGCAGAAGGTCTTGAGTTCCATTGCCAGTACCAAAACAAATAGATTTATATAGAATTGTCGGCTTGCAGTTTATACTCAATACGTAGCTACCATCACATCACCTCCATCTCCTTTACCTACCCCTATTATGGATTTTTTTTGTTGTTGTTTCGGGGATCAAACTTGGGTCCTTGTACTTGTGCTGCAGGTGGCAAAATCACTGAGCTAAGTCCACCTATCCCACCTATTTTTATATCCGGCCCACCTTCCCCAATTAGTATAATGCCACCAGCTCATGGTTCTGAGCAGATGCATGTAATGAAAGTGAGCTTCAGCAACTTTGCTCAAACCCATAGCAGTGTCATATCTGGACTATGCTTTCTCTGGGGCTGAGACTTCTCCAGTCCTACCTGGCTTAGGGTTCCCATTCAGAGATTGTCTAGTTTACATTTTTTTATTGTGGTCAAATAAACACAATATAAAGTTGACCTTTTAAGCATGTGAGTGCATAGCTCATGGCATTAAGTACATCCACATGATTTTCCAATGTCACAATCATCCATCTTCAGGGCTCTGTCATCATCTCCACCTGAAACTATAACCATTAAACACCAGCTCCCCTTGGCCCTTTCTGGGCTCATCCTCCAGTAACTCCCATTCTACTTCCTGCCTCTATGACTTCTCCTATTCCAGTGCCTCCTGTAAGTGAATGTAGATGATATTCGTCCCTTTGAGTGGGCTTAGCATAATGCTTTTTTTTTTATCTCTATGGATTTATGATTTGGGGAGTTGAGGGTGGAAGACCCATGGCTCCAGAGCATTATCACAAACTTAGCGTCTTTTTCTGGGGGTGTGGATGCCAAATTGAAACAAGCTTAATGAAACCTAAGCATTTTTAATTCAAGAAGAAAGAATAGAAGAGTTTTTGATATCAGGATCTATGATACATTTTATTACTAGTGTTGATGCTCTGCAGCCATGGAATCTCCTTTAATCTGAAATGAGCCAAATTCTACTTCCATTCTCCATCCCAAGAATATGATGGCAGTGGATGTGGGTGGAAATGAGATGGATCCGAGGACTGAGAAGGAAGAAGGGCCATACGATTGGCATAATGAAGGTATGGGAACCTTTAGGGGTGTAGTTTTTGGGGAAAATTATAAGACAGTGTGTGGAGAGTAATAGGTGGGTTGGAAACCAGTTTAACAAGTGTGATTACTGAGAATGGAGTGGGAATTGAATTGTAGTCACACACCAGAGAGGTTACATTTGTGTTTTTCAGTTCTGCTGTGACTACTGGATAGATGGATGAATATGTTGGGCCTAAGCATTGCTTTGAAACACACCAGGTTCTACTCAAAGTTCAATGTCATTTCGCAAAACTGAGATCCATGTGGTCTGTGATTTGGCATAAGCTGTGGAATGCATGTAACATTTAAAGAGGTGCTGCTTCAGGACAGAAGTTTCCAGATTTGAGAATTTAGTAGAACAAAAAATTACTTTACATTAGTAACACTGAGTTACCAACATTTTATTTTTTTTGGTAAGGAATAGGATCATTATTTAATACCAGGGACCAAATATAACCTTACCAAAAACACTAAACTGCCTTCTACTACCTTCATCATTTTCTAACAGAAAGAATAACTTAAAATTCAAAACATTGTGAAGAAATGTATACTTTCAATACATGTTAAATTCATGGAATGTACTTAGGTATATGAAAAGCACTTTACATGGTTCTTATTTTTCTCATTTTGCCAGAGATTGGTAAAAATATCCTCATTGGATGGACCACTGGTTTAGAGCATTCTGGAGGTTTTATAAACTGCACATTAACACTGTGCTGAGTTCTATCATACATACTATTCCATTTGACCATTAAAATAGTTCATTTGTGTAAATGAGACATCTAAGATGCCAAAAAACGTAAAGACTATCTGTCCCTAGGAATCATTGCTCAGGAAAGCTGAGTTGAGGACCTGTAGCTTTGTCCTCTCTTGGTGGCTTGCCACTGGAGCCTAAACACTGCCGCTACTACAAGTCTCTCCCATACTCTTCTCTCAAAGATGCTGACGATAATTATATTGCTGTATCTGTTAAAAAGAAATGAAAATCAGGTCAAGTCTTGTACCTTGAGATCATCCAGGTTAGGTGGGAGTGGGCCTGGTTTGAGAGAAGAGACACCAGTTTGTCCAGAAAAACTGCTTTTGACAGGGGACAGAGGGCTGTTTCTCAGTGGTGTTGATGAAGAATTCGGATTTCTGACCATCTGTTCATTTGGTTCTCTAAAAAACACAAAGACACTTACAATACAATTGGATATGTAGGGGGCATCTTGCATTTGGATATGATCACAGAGTGATTGCCTGCAAGGACAAAGTGCATGGTAAATCAGCAGAAGACTGCAAAGTGGGGGGAAACAATGGCACAGGCTAAATTGCAAGTTAGCAGAAACCCAGGGTTTGTTTTGGGGAGATAGGAAAGAGGGTGGAAACTTTGACTGAGGAGTGTGAATGTCCACCTATAATTTAACAGATGCACTGTTCTGGACTAGGGAGCACTGAGCACACCTTGTGAAGCAAGATTGTGATCAGGATTCATCATGATTGTCAGCAGCTTGACCAGAGGGTGGCCAGAGGACAGGTTAGAGGACCATC